ATTTTTGAGAATGATTTGAAAAGTAGTCTAAAGGTCAGGGTTGAGAGACATCTGAGTAATCCTTTTGGCTCTACCATAAATTTACTCTATGATCTTGAGATCCCACTGCTGCTTACTATGCCTCAACTTTTACTGCTAGAAAGCAGTGGATCAGTAAAAGAGAAGATGAAGGATGCTTATCTTTCAGGAGGGTAGAGAAGGAAAAAGAGACAGACAGATGAATGGTTAGATAGCATCACCGACCCAATGGACATGAATCTGAGCAAACTCCAGGAGATAGCAAAGGACAAGGAAGCCTGGCATGCTACAGTCCATGGGGTCGCAAAGAGTTGGACATGACTGAGCGACTGAGAAACAGCACAATGCCTCCACCTTGTTTCCCACCTTCGCTCTACTTTCTTCTTCATTTTAGCATCTGTTAATCCCTACGTCTCTCCCCTACACCCAAGGCAGTAAACTAGAAAAATCAGAGATGTTGAAACTCAGGACCCTCTGTCTAGTTTTAGTCAAAAGCTTAGTGGGAAAAGTAAGTTAGAACTAAAAGCTGAAGTGAGTGTTTTCAAGTAGTTGTAAATTGCAGTGACCTATGCTGCTTGCTCCTTTTGTCCTCCGAGGTCAAAGATAACTAATTGAGTGTCGGCTTGGAGTAGCTCACAAGGGCTATGGAGTTTGAAATGAAGTACTTTATGAGATGTGAAAAAAGTCAGAAGTTTTACAGGGAGTTCTCGGCGGAGACCTTCCATATGGATCTGACGATCTATAAGACACATCTGGGTTTGTCCAGCTCTCTCAGTCTCTGACCAGACATGCTTATTGACACTTCCTTTGCAAAAATAGCCTTTCCTGGTCAAGTAGGCCAGCGTGACACAGTGAAATAAGAATGAGTTTTGCCATCAATTGGAAATTGGTTTAAATCCTAACACTAGCCCAACTAGTTTGACTTTATCTCCCTTAGCCTTGGTCTCCTCATCTAGCAAATATATATATATATTTCTATACATATAAAATAATGAATACACTAGAGGGTACTTATAAGTCTTTTAGTATGTAAAAGACTGATATAATTTCTTTTCTTTTGTCCACTAATATTTCCTCTAAATGACATCACTATATTATGCTCTACAACAACTGGTTGTAGACAACTGATTTTCAAGGAATCTGGAACTGCAATTACAGAAAAGAATATAATGGAAAGGAGGCATAAGAAGAAAAATAAAGAGCAAGAAGAAAATCATGGAGTACTCATGTGATCGGAAAAGGGACATCAATTTTGGAAATTTAGGACTCAAATAATAAAAATGCAGAAGATGAAGTGGAAGAAAAATATAAACAAGATTTATCCTTGGGGAATCAGTGTGAACCAGTAGTAAATGGATGTGATCTGTTGTCTGTATACTTTCTCTGATCTGATGTCTTCTTCCTGACATTGAAGGGATAGAGCAGGCTGGGTTCTGTTAATTTCCATAAACCTTCTAGTAGGGACTGAGAAAAGCCATTTCCTAGTTGGATGTGACCCCACCCTAAACACTGGAGTCTGGATGCTCAGACCTTCTGGATTGTCTGGGACATAGAATCTCTTAAGGGAAATGAAGGAACCCAAGGCTGACAGCAACTCTCACCCACTTCTCCCATCCAAACTAGGATAGGATTTAGGCAGAAGCAGGGCAATTCATTTTTCTTTGGGGGCCAGGAAAACAGCACAGGAAGTTTGCTATCTCAGCACATTTTGCAGGAATCCCCAGAGGAAAAACTTGCATCTCGAGCTTTTCTTTCCCATCGGCTTCCCTATTTTCCACCCCACTCTCTGCTCCAGGGAGTGTAACTGATCTTGGAGCCCGTTGGGTTGGGTCTGGGACCAGCCACTCCGAGATGACGTAATGCTTTCTCTGGTACACAAAGCGGCCTCCCCCGGGCTCGGCCTTTTGCGCCCCTCCCCCTCCGGCCCGGATCGGGCCCCCGCCAGCACCAGCCCGGCTGAGTCCCCCTTTTTGAAAAGCCAGCCCAGGGAAACAGGGAACAAAGGCCTGAGAAGAAGAGCCTAGGCGCTGCCAGGAGGCCCAGAAATAGACATCACGTCATCCCCCAGCCCAGCAGCGCCAAGCGCCATTTGGTAGCATCGGACGGACCCCACCATTACGATGCAGAACAGACATGGCAGGGCTCACGTTTCCTCCCAGCCCCAGCATCCAGCTGACCGGCCTCAGGAGTGGCTTCCTTTTTGCTCTCCACCCCCGCACCCCTCTTTCCCCAGAGGCCGCCGCCTCCCCTGGCTGCCTGCCACACAGCCCACAGTCTCCAAGCTGCCATCTTGATGCCCCATCCCCCTTGCCACCTCCCTCCCCCGCAGCCCTGAGGAGTGGGAGGGGGAGGAAGGGGCACCGCCCTGCGTGCCCCAAGGGGGAGGGCTCGGCCTGCCTCACCTCTCCTCCCCGCGAAGGAGGGACTCACGTCCTTCGCAGGCTCTCTGTTTCCCACCTCCAGCGGCACTGACAGTGCACCATCCAAGGTTTTCGCATCCTGAACGTCCCCACCCTTGGTGTGACTCCGGCCTTCTCAGGTCCTGCAGCCCATGGCTCAGGTTCGGACGCTGTCCACTGCCCGCGGTACCACCACCGTAGGCCCGATTCTGCCCACCACCACAGGCCCGATTCTAGAGGGACTGGCACTTGAAGGCCTTGATCTGGGCTTCACGCTCTGCCCAGCCGCTGAGCTCCCTTGGCTTGGCAACGGTTTCACCTACCCCAGGCTTAGTTTGCCAGATTTCTACTTACCAAAGCTAGGTCGGATGTTGGTGATCTCAGCCATGTCGTAATCAGAGGCTATTGCTATAAATGCTTTTGCAATGGTCAGACAAGTCTGGGACCTCCGGTAAGTACCGGAGGCCGCCTCTGCAGAGAGCTAGGTCAGGGGAGGGGGAAGGTATCTGGTGTATGCCTCCTGCGACGGTCTGGTCCCTGGTTGACAGCTGCGGTCGCCTCTTAAGATGCTCCAGGGATGCTCTGAGCTAAGGATGCAGGTGCAGCCAGACTGGTCCTGATGCGAGGTAGGCCCCGCCTTCCTCCGAACGGCCCTCGGCAGAAGACTCCGCCTCTGTCCGAAAAGTTCCGGAAGGCAAGCCCCGCCCCTTTCCGGAAGATCCCTGGGAGGGGACAGCTCCCGCTGCCAAATTTTCAAGAGAATGAGACCCCGCCTACTGATGGGCTTGTGGGTCTGTAAAGCGAAAACCCCGATGCCTGACTAAGGAGAAGTTGTATGAGATCCTTTAGATCTTGTGATTCCGATTGCCCAGGCTTAATATAGCAGCAGAATGTTCTGGGCGACAGGGAGGTAGGATTTTGAAAAAATAAAATTATATATTGCCTGCTTTTCAGTATCAATTACCATTATTGTTTTGCATTTATGAGACCACTAAATATTATTATGGAAACTTTCTTAAACTTCAGAAGCTCTGATTGAAGACCAAACCTGGTGACGGTTGCACAACCCTGAAAGTTTACTGAAAATAATTGAATTGTATAAGTAAAACCTCTTTGGTGGCTCAGACGGTAAAGAATCTGCCTGCAACGCTGGAGACCCAGGGAAGAGCTGACTCATTGGAAAAGACCCTGATGCTGTTAAAGATTAAGGGCAAGAGGAGAAGGGGGCGACAGAGGATGAGATAGTTGATGGCATCACTGTCTCACTGGACATGAGTTTGAGCAAACTCAGGAAGATAGGGAAGGACAGAGAAGCCTGGCGTGCTGCAGTTCATGGGGTCGCAAAGAGTCGGATACGACTTAGCAACTGAAGAACAACAATAAGTAGGAGGGATTCTGTGATGTGTAAATTGAAGCTTTTTTTCTTTTAAAAACTAATGAAGGTTGCCAATAATTAATCGGTGTTGGATATTTCTCTTCTAAAAGCTTCAAATGCATAGAACAGCTTAGATGAGAGAGAGATAGCAAACCAACAGGTCTGTGTATTGTGTAGGTTCAAAAAGCAGGACACAAATGAAAAGCCAAGCTTCTAGAGATATCTTTGGAATGGAAGAGTTAGTGTGATTCACATTAGAGTCAGACTGCTGGCGGTTATCTCCATGATTACATCAACTTCACCATTTTGAGCTGTGGATCCTTTTATTTTGCAGATTCTGTTTACACACCAAATCAAGTCAAATAAATTACTTAAATATATAAATGTTGGTGGTTCACCTGTAAAGTGAGAGAGTTGAATGTACTTTTCTAGTTTTGACCTTCTGTCCTTCTAGGAAAGAGAAAAGAGAACATCAAAGCACATATATTGAATTTATTGGCCTTCGACTATGCCCAAGTACCTCCCTGGACACCGGATTACTGCATTAGAAGCGAGAGTCAGGATACCTGATTCCATCTGATAGATGTGTATCTTCGTAAAAATCATCTACCCAGCTGAGCCTAAAATGTGTCCTGTATAAACCGGAAGGTATAATAGCCATTGTCCCATAGAATTTATTGTAAAGATTAAAAAAAAAAAAAAACACCTTTGATAACGTAAGTGAAATCATTTTGTAAGGAGTGTATTATACAGATAAGAATAATTACTATGGATTGAATTCAAGACTACCTTCACTTTATTCAGGAAACTGCACTATTCGTAACCCAGGATTTCTCTTTCTTAAATTTTATGAATTCTCCATATCCTTGGTTGCATATTCCAGGTGTCTTGCAGTGAGTACTCAACTTAAACCACTGAACCTTAAACTCCCAGTGTTGTTTTGAGTAGGATAGCTCAGTGGACAGAGAAAGCAAGCTAGTGCCTTTAAATATTTTTGCCAACAACGGAAGTACTCGCGCTTTGGCTTCATTGTGCCCTAAAATAGAATGGCGCCCGGGCTGGGAGCCTGCTCCTTGACACCCACCCCGACGCGGCGCACCGTGACCCGGGGACGCGTTAGTAAGTGGCTGCCGTTGTCTGACTTCCGGTGATAAGGGAGCCGAGCTTCCGCGGGAGCGGGCCGGCTGGTGAGGGTGCGGGCTGTGTCCTGTAGGGCGGGAAGAGGCAGTGTGGAGCGGACGTCCGGGCGAAGGACGTTCAGCCTGAGGCGGTCGGGTCTGAGGGCTGGTGCGGGGTGCGTGACAGACGTTGGGGAGTGAAGACGTCTAGCTGGGAGTGGGGACTGAGTCAGCGCTAGGCGCTGAGGTGAAAAGCGCAGTTTGTACCCCTGTGTGAAATGTTTGCCCAGGAGGGGTTCGCGCTGGGGCTGCCTCCGTGTTTGCTTATATTCACCCTGTTGATTTGACTGCCGTTCCCGAAGAGGGGGCCTCTTTAAACCTCTTTTGTGTTTGAAGTGCCTGAGCTGATCCCTGCAGGCTCCTGACTGAATTGTAGCTGCCTTTCTTCTTTTCATCCCCCGCCCCTCCCCAGCCCCGCCTTTTTGGACCTCAGTGATTTATCTGCAATAGGACTTGCCTAAACTAATGCCACGATCCTTAATTCTCCCTTACCATTCCCTTATCAGAGGAATCTTTACTTGTTAATTCAACTGTGATTATCAAGATATGGACAAAAGTTCATTTGGTCTGGGCTGGGGAATCTCTCCCAGTGTCCTGGACAAACGGAATTAAAGCAGTTTAAAACTAACCTTATAGTTCAAGGTCTTAGAGAGCACTTTTATGTTGCCGTCCTCTAGTCCAGGTTTTCATCTAGTGCCTCGATAGATGGGCATTCAGGCCTTACTTGAACAGAAGAACTCACTGTGACACAAGGCAGCATGTTCTATTCTTGGACCTATCTTATTGAGAATGAAGTTTTTTGGGGTAGTTTTCATATAATGCTCTTGGTCCAACCTGCATAGAGTATGCACAAAACAGGAAGTTCACACACTAATTCAGGGAACAGTAGTTACTGATTGTCTCCAATAGGGCAGATATTGTCAAGTACTAGGGGTACTCATGGAAAGAATCTTTTCCCTCGAAAAGCACATAGTTTGTGGGGGGCTGGTGGGAAAGAGCCAAGAAGCAATCATAAAAGTGGTACGTACAAAAAAAGAGGTTTGCAAATAGATGCTCTAAGTACATATGAGAAGATAACCTCCACTTTAGGTTAGTGTTGCCATTAAAATGTGATAATTGGAATTGAAGTCAGCTGTTCAGAAATAACATAGTATACACAAAAGTTAGGAATCTCTCTTGTTTTCAATACAAAATTTTTGTTAATATAGTCTAACCTTTTTAAACAACCACACTTTGCTTTTGGATTCTTTTTGTTAAGGGAAATACCTGTTTATAAAAGCAACAATGGCAAGCATTTATTGATCTAATAAATTACTATTTAATGACGGAAGTGCTATTTTTGTTTCATTTTATAGCTGAAGAAATGAAATTCAGGTAAAGTAACTTATGCAAGGTCACAAAGCTTACTTGGGAAACGAATCCAGATGGTTTGACTCCACAGTTTGCTCTCAACATCACGCTATTCTACTTCCCTGATGGTAATAGTAATAGCTAACACTTACTAATCATTTACTATTTAATTCTTATAACAACTCCATAAGGTTAGACAAATTATTATCTTTTATAGTTGAGGAAACCAGAATTTGGATAGGTGAAGTCACTCAGGCAAGATAACACACTGATCAGTAATAGAGTTAGGATTTGAACTCAGGCATTCTGTCTCTCACTTCCCACCTAATGGGAGATTGCATTTGGTGTAATATACAGTGTTCATGATTGAACATGAATAAGTGAAAATATGTTTGAGGAGATGTTATTACCTTTAATTAATAAGATGGTGATAAGAACTTGCCTTTATCCTTTCAGGATGGAACAAAAGTGGGACTTGGAAAATGTTGCCCTGTAAGAAGAGAAGAACTACGTTGACAGAGTCCCCACAACATCAGGGCAGCCAGGAGGAAGATGACTTAGACCTTCAGTCAGCTGTTAAGGCAGAATCTGACCAAGTTAAAGACCTGGGGTCAGTGTCCCTGTCCTGGAGTCCAAGTCATGGCAGAGCAGCTGACCTTGACGTGCAGGATGCCGGAATTCAGCTTGGTATGGAGGACCCATCTTTGAGCTCTAGGATGCTCACCGACAACACAAATGTTGCAGTTCTGGAAGCTGTGGATGTGGCCATCTCTCAGGAAATCACCCTACCTTCCTTGGAGTCTTCTCAGCCTGTAAATACACACACTGGTAAAGGAAAACTTCAGGCCACTAGCTCAAGGAGAGGGAAGAAAATTACACTCAGACCTGGGTCAGTTACTCAAGAAGACAGAGGCGATCATCCTATCGCTAAGGAGCCTTTTTCAGAAAAGCCTAGTGAAGAAGTCAAGGAAGAAGGAGGTAAGACATGGAAGATCTTTGGCTTACATTTACCTTGTTAGTACCAGCTAACCAGGTCATTGCACTCCCTGCAGTGCCTTTACAAAATAGCATTTCTGAAAGGGGATGCTGGTTGGGTTTGGAATTGGAGCCTTATCTTTGTAAGGGTCAGCACTGAACATTATGAATGGGTAGAAACTTTCTTCTCCCCTCCATTTCCTTGATCATCTTCCGTATTCTTTCCTTTTTTTTTTTTTAAGGTTTCTCTATTTGTTTGGCTGTGGTGTGTCTTTGTTGCTGCACATGGGCTTTCTCTAGTTGCAGAGAGTGGGGCTATTCTCGTTGTCACGTGCAGGCTTCTCACTGCCGTGGCTTCTCTTACTGTGGAGCACGCGCTCTAGGTGTAGTCAGTAGTTGTAGCACACAGGCTTAGTTGCCACGTGGCTTGAGGGATCTTCCTAGAGAAGGGATCAGGAACCAGTGTCCCTTGCATTGCAAAGTGGATTCTTAACCACTGGACCACCAGGGAGGCCCTCTTTCCTTCCTTTTTATCTTTTCATCATTTCTGTAGGGATGAACTATGTATGGCCTATTGATATTTGGTGGCTGTTTATGAAGTGGGCCTTGAGGAGGGGCAGCAGCTATAAGGGAGAGACGACTGCCTATGGCATTTGGTAAGGCTCTCCAGAGATGCCATAACCCTTAGGCCCTGAAGGATGAATTGTGATTTGATGGAATGGTGGCATGGAGTTTTCTTAGCTGAAGAACAGTCTGAGCAGAGGCAGGAGAGGTAGTGAAAGATGACTTCAGAGTGTTAGAGTGTGTTTAGATTGTGATGGGCTTTGTTTTTTATGCTTGAATGTTTGAACTAGAGTGTGTTTAGATTGTGATGGGCTTTGTTTTTTATGCTTGAATGTTTGAACTTTTCCTGAAGGTTATAGCTCACTAATAAATAAAAGAAGCAGAAGGCATACTTCTGACCTCAGAATGTTTATAATCTAGTTGGGAAGAGAAGACACAAGCACCTAATTCATTTGGTGCAGTTTAAGACAATATGTGATTGAATGGAAGTGAGGTACAGGTAATTAGGATTTTTGAAACTGGATCTTGGTGGATTGATAGAATTTGATGGTTTAGGGTAAAGGAGTGGAAATAGAATAGCATTTTCTACAAACACGTAAAAGTGCTGTGTTTGTATGGGAGCGTAACACGGTTTCAAATAGAAAGGATAAATTCAGATTACTATACAGAGTCATCCTGTTATGCCTTTGAGACCTTGTAAAGTATTGATGTAGGATGTTGGTGGTAAGGATAGAGAAGAAAGGGTGTGTCTTAGAGACATTAGAAAGAAAGAATTAATGTTACTCAGAGACTGATAACATTTAATTTATCTGGGTTGGGGGATGGTGAAGCATGCCTTCGTGGGGAGGTATTTGAGGGGTTAAAATGAGTTCAGCTTTAGATATGCGGAATGTGAGGTGACATTGGGGCCATCAAGGAAAAATAGAAAACTGAGATTGAAGTTTGATAAGAGGTAGAACTAAAAAAGTTTTGATTGTGGTTCTTCTCATGGAAAGGAACATGGCAGAAGATGATAGAGAAGGGTAAACTTGAGAAGTATCAATAATAGTGAAAGTCAAGGAGGCAGGAGAGTTTTAAGTGCAGGTACTTTATATAAAACTTAGTGACAAAAAAAAACAACAACTTAGTGACAAAGGAGATACATTGATACCTGAGAAAAATGTTACATTTAAAGGTTGATCTTTGAGCGTAGATTTAGGAGAGATTTTGGGAAAAGGAAATCAAATGATGAAATTAAAGAGGGAAGGATGAAAGTCCCAGTGATAATTTGTGCAGTGGAGTGAAAATGGAAATAGCTAGTCTTGCAACCGCATGACTTATATTTTCTCCTTGGCTGTGGTGTGTTTGTGACATGAAGACCAGAAGGAATGCAGAAAATGCAGAATTAGAGTGCTAGAGACGGAATGTGAAACTAAGTGGAGGTTCAAGGGGTTTAATTGTCAGTTACTATCCAAGAATAGATAAATAAAACAAAAAATATCAAATGTAGATAAAATAAACATGTTTGTTTTAGTATTATCAGTAATACTACTACCCCTCATTAATCTGGATAATTGAAAGTTGATTCTCCCACCTTGTAATACTTCTGTTAGCTGTATGTACAAATAATACCACCATCTCAGTGGCTCTGTGGTAAAGAAAATCTGCCTGCCAGTGCAGGAGATGTGGATTCGGACCGTGGGTCAGAAAGATCTCCTGGAGAAGGACATGGCAACCCACTCCAGTATTTTTGCCTGGGAAATTCCATGGACAGAGGAGCCTGGTAGGCTGCAATCCATGGGGTTGCAAAAGAGGTGGACACAGCTTAGTGATTAAGCAAATAATACCAGTCAAAGAAGTACATTTGGATTCCCTTTTACCACAACCCCGTCCCTCCCCCCCCAAGTAACATTTTTTGGTCAAATAGACATGTCACATAAAAAGCAGGAAGGAAGAAAGAAGAAAGATTGAAAATTCATATATGTGCATTTTGGAAAATATTGAAAAGTTGAAAGAAAAAAATAAAAATCACTCATAATTTTACTACTCAGAGTGAAAGTGAAAGTTGCTCAGTCATGTCTGACTCTTTGCAACCCCATGGATAGTCCATGGAATTCTCCAGGCTAGAAATACTGGAGTGGGTAGCTCTTTCCTTCTCCAGGGGATCTTCCCAACCCAGGGATCAAACCCAGGTCTCTCGCATTGCAAGCAGATTCTTTCCCAGCTGAACCATCAGGGAAGCCCAAGAATACTGGAGTGGGTAGCCTATCCCTTCTCCAGGGATCTTCCCGACCCAGGAATCAAACTGGTGTCTCCTGCATTAGCAGGTGAATTCTTTACCAACTGAGCTACCAGGGAAGCCCCAGTAATTGCTGTTATAATTTAGTGCCTATTCTTTTTGTTGTTTTGCTTTTGTTTAAGTAACATTTTGGTTTTTTGATTATGATTATGTGGGGAAAAAAGCAGAAAAACATCTAGGTTATTCTGAAGTATCAGCATTGTGTTACAATTGATATACACTGTTAAATTATGTTTCTAGGCTGCAGGTGTTAGTGACTGAACCTTTCTCTGGATTGGTGTTTATTCTCAGAGAATTTTAATTGTTCTTTTAAAATTGGTTTACATACCCTAATTTCTCCTTGAGTCTTTTTTTCTCTTTTCTTTGCCTTCTAAAAATGATTAACTTAGGTAGATTTCAGCTTACAGTCAGTTGGTTTTTACAGTTTTCAGCTAGTTATTTTCATGTTACCAATTCAAAGCTGTTAGGCTAGCAGTAAGCAAATTACTTCTTGGATTGATCCCTTGATCATTATGTAGTGTCCTTCCTTATCTCTTGTAATATTCTTTATTTTAAGGTCTCTCTATGAGAATTATTATGGAATGTCTTTTTCCACCCTCTCTCATTCAGTCTATATGTGTCTCTAGGTCTGAGGAGTGTCTCTTGTAGACAGCATGTATATAGGTCTTGTTCCTGTGTCCACTCAAGAGCCTGTGTCTTTTGGTTGGCACGTTTTATCCATTTTCCTTTAAAGCAATTATTGATATATATGTTCCTATTGACATTTTCTTAATTGTTTTGGATTTGTTTTTGTAGGTCTTTTCCTTCCCTTGTGTTTCCTGTCTATAGTAGTCCCTTTAACATTTGTTGTAAAGCTGGTTTGGCGGTGCTAAATTCTCTTTTAACTTTTACTTGTCTGTAAAGCTTTTGACTTCTCCATCAATATTGAATGAGATCCTTGCCAGGTAGGGTAATCTTGGTTGTAGGTTTTTCACATTCAGTACTTCAAATATAGCCTGCCATTCCCTTCTGGCGTGCAGAGTTTCTGCTGAGAGATCAGCTGTTAATCGTATGGGGTTTCCCTTGTGTGTGTTGTTCAGTTGCTAAATCGTGTCCGACTGTTTGTGACCCCACAGACTGCAGCATGTCAGGCTTCCCTGACCTTCACTATCTCCTGGAGTTTACTCAAACTCATGTCCATTTAGTAGGTGATGCCATCCAACCATTTCATCCTCTGTTTCCCCCTTTTCCTCCTGCCGTCGATCTTTCCCAGCATCGGGGTCTTTTCCAATGTGGCCAAAGTATTGCAGCTTCAGCTTCAGCATCTGTTCTTCCAATGAATATTCAGGATTGATTTCCCTCGGGATTGACTAGTTTGATCTCCTTGCTGTCCAAGGGTCTCCAAGAGTCTTAAGCACCACCATTCAAAAGCATCAATTCTTTGGTCTCAGCTTTCTTCATGGTCCAACTTTCACATCCATACATGACTACTGGAAAAACCATAGCTTTAACTATACAGACCTTTGTTGGCAAAGTAATGTCTCTGCTTTTTAATATGCTTTCTAGGTTTGTCATCGCTTTTCTTCCAAGGAGCATCTTTTAATTTCATGGCTGCAGTCACCATCTGCAGTGATTTTGGAGCCCATGAAAATAAAATCTGTCACTATTTCCACATTTTCCCCATCTATTTGCCATGAAGTGATGGAACTGGATGCCATGATCTTCGTTTTTTGAATGTTGAGTTTTAAGCCAGGCTTTTTCACTCTTCTTTCACCCTTACCAAGAGGCTGTTTAGTTCCTCTGCTTTCTGCCATTTCTGGCATTATCTGCATATCTGAGGTTGTTGATCTTTCTCCCAGCAGTCTTGGTTTCAGTTTGTGAGTTATCCAGCTAAGTGTTTCACATGATATACTCTGCCTGTATGTTAAATAAGCAGGGTGACAATATACAGCCTTGATGAACTCCTTCTCCAATTTATTTATTGCTTTTCACTTGCTGCTTTTAATATTTTTCTTTGTTTTTATTTTTTGTTAGTTTGATTAGTATGTGTCTTGGCATGTTTCTCCTTGGGTTTATCATAAATGAGATTCTCTGTGCTTCTTGGACTTGATTGACTATTCTTGACCATGTTAGGAAAGTTTTCAACTATAATCTCTTCAAAAAATTTCTCAGTCCCTTTTTCTCCTCTTCTTCTGGGACCTCTATAATTCAAATGTTGTTGTGTTTAGTATTGTTCCGGAGGTCTCTGAGACTATCCTCAATTTTTTTCATTCTTTTTCCTTTATTCTGCTTTTTAGCAGTTATTTCCACCATTCTATCTTCTAGCTCACTTATCTGTTTTTTAACCTTAATTATTTGAGTATTGATTTTTTTCTAGAGAATTTTTAATTTCAGTAATTGTATTATCTGTCCCTGTTTATTTTTTAATTTCTCCTAGGTCCTTGTTAAATGTGTTCATTGATTCTGTCATTTTTTCCATTCTTTTTCAAGGTTTTGGCTCATCTTTACTATCATTACTCTGAATTCTTTTTCAGGTAGTTTGGCTATTTCCCCTTCATTTATTTGGTCTTGTGAGTTTTTACTTTGTTCCTTCATTTGCACAGTATTTCTCTATCTTTTCATTTTTTGGTAAGTTACTGTATTTGAGGTCTCCTTTTCCCAGGGTTTAGTGTTGTGTTCCTTCTTCGTTTTGGTTTCTGCCCTCAGTGGATGAGATTGGTCCAGTGGGTTGTGTAGGCTTCATATTGGGAGGGACTTGTTTGAAGGAAGGAAGGAACTTAAGTTAGTAAGGAGAATAGGTAAGATGAATCAGCTATGTGAAATGATTTGTACACTGGCAGTGAGGGAAAAAAAGAAAGACTAAGTTGTGTAAAAACTGCAGAATAGGGAGTTCCCTGGTGTTCCACTGGTTAGAAATCTTTGCTTTCACTGCTGTGGGCCTGGGTTCAGTTCCTGGTCAGGGAGCTAAGATATTGCAAACCTCATGGCATGATCAAAAAATTAATAAAAAATAGAATCTTCAGAATAAGCATGCTTTATTGGAATAGATTCTTATGGTGCTGAACATCTTAAATATTCTTTAGAGAGATGAGTTCAAGGTTGGGAAAAAGTGTCTGAAACATTTTCTTTTCCTAGAGGAGGCAAATGATGACAATCCAGAATATAATTTCCTGGAAGAACTTGATGAACCAGATGCAAAGGATTTCTGCACTGACCAGGCAGTAAGAATCACCAGTGAGTCTGTGTTTATCATGAGTCGTGCTCTTGACTTTTCCACATCTACTTTTGTTTACTTTGCGGATTTTTGAGGGTGAAGCTTGTAGCCCACTTAGATTAAGACATTTAAGTTTCCTCTATCATTTATTTCTATAATTCTTTAAATTTACATATATATTCAGGAATCCTTTCAGTTACCATTTATACATCCCACAGTCATGTATTGAGTCCAGTATTTGGCAGCGATTGTACCAAAATAAGTAAGACATGGCCTCTGCCTGTAGGATGTCAGCTTAGCAGGGGAATACAGACAGAAACAGCTACAGTACACAGTGATAGGTGCTATAATAGCTTGTGTATAAGGTGCCCTGGTGGCCTTGAAAAAGGTATATAGTGTCCTATGTATACTATCACTTAGGGAATGATTCACAAAATGAGATGTTTCATCTTAGTTTAGAAGGAGCAATAAAAAATTTTTGGCAAATGGGGCCAGAGAAGGATATTGCAAATAGAAGAATGTCTGCAGACCATGAAATTATGAAGCAACAATACATGTGTTTCGAAAATAGTAAGTTTGATTTAGTTGTCTGAGTGAGTGATGATAGAGAAGTTAAGCAGTGTTCAGGTCTTGGAGAACCTTAGATTTGATTTTTGATCTGTCAAAAAGGAGAGCTCAAAGAAAGCAGGAACACAGTAGGAACTGACTTGGATTCTAGAAACATCGCTTTGATTTAATGCCAGTTTAATTTATTGATTTGGTGGGTAAAGAGAGCAAGATTGGAGGCATGGGAAACAGATAACTTGGCTTGAGTCATTTTTTAAAAAATTATCCCATTGCTAGTTTGCCAATAATGGATAGCATGTTTCAGGAACTGTTGATTTGTATCCCCTGTCCTGGGATAGTAAACACCACATGGTGCGGGTAAAACGTTGGCTGTTGACAAGGTTATGAATTGAAGAAAGCTTTATCAGTATGCCAAAGTGTTTATTATGTACCTAAACAATGCAAGTCTTTGTCCAAAGAGAATTATGTGAGCACAGTCCTTTAGGACTTATGTTTTGTTTTGTTGCTTTAGTTCGTCTTTCATGTCATTTTTGAGATTAGAGTGCCTTTTTTTAATGAAGGTCTTCCATTTATTTTGGTATGTTATGAAAGTTAAGGTTAGAGGAAGAATCAAACAAAAAGTGTAGAAAGAAAAGGCTGGAGGATTCTTGCAATAAAGTAAACCAGAGAAAAGAAAATGTTATTAAGAAAATCATAAGGAAGACAAGTACATTTATAATACTGTATTTATTGATACTGTAAGTTTATGTTGTCTGTTTACAGGATAAATCATCTGTCATTATATTAATATTGTCTTATATGATACAGAACAGTGTAGGCATATGTGTCAACTGGACATGAAAAATGAAAAGATGATGTGATAAAGAAATTTGTATTTATTTACTGGTATAAGGATTCATGCATTGATAATGAAGAAGCAACATTATGATGGCTTGGTGGTAGCCTAGTGTAATTGATTGGATTGCTTCACAGTACCCTGGCCTATAGATGAATGAATTGTTACAGAAATTTATGGCATACAGTATTATAGTCCTTAAAAAAACTAAGATCTTGGCATCAGGTCCCATCACTTCATGGCAAACAGGAGGGGGAAAAGTGGAAGCAGTGACAGATTTTAGTTTCTGGGGCTCCAAAATCACTGTGGATGGTGACTGCAGCTATAAAATTAAAAGATGTTTGCTCCTTAAAAGGAAAGCTATGACAAACCTGGACAGCATATTAAAAAGCAGACATTGCTTTGCTGACAAAGGTTCGTATAGTTAAAGCTATGGTGTTTTCGGTAGTCATGTATGTTTGTTAGAGTTGGACCATAAAGAAGAGTGGGCATTGAAGAATTGATGCTTTTGAACTGTAGTGCTGAAGAAGACTCTTGAGAGTCTCTTGGATGGCAAGGAGATCAACCCAGTCAAACTTAAAGGAAATCGACCCTGAATATTCATTGGAAGGTCTGTTGCTGAAGCTGAAGCTTCAGTACTTTGGCCTCCTGATGCAAAGAGCCAACTCTTTGAAAAAGACCCTGATGCTGGGAGAAATTGAAGGCAAAAGAAGAAAGGGACAGCAGAGGTTGGCATGGTTAGATAGCATCACCACTCAGTGGACATGAGTTTTAGCAAACTCTGGGAGATAGCAGGGGGCAGGGAAACCTGGCGTGCTGCAGTCTGTGGGGTTGCAAAGACTCAGACATGACTTAATGACTGAACAAAAGTAACATTTAGTCAACATTCATGTACAGGATTGTAAACATTGTTACATTTTTAAAAATATGAGATACAAGGTTTCTCTGATTACGAGAGGCATACTATATGGTAATGTAACTCTTTGAAAGCAAAGTTATACATCAGTAATAAAGCTAACACATTGTTAATTTTCTATTTAATATCACTTTATGTAAGGGTAGGCTACTCATTTCAGTATAAGTCTTGCACATGATGTTCTAATACTTAAGCAATGATAATAATGATGACACAAAAAACGTCTTATACAGTTCTTGCCATACAGTTATTAGATTTTCACAGAAAGACACACATATATACACAACAGGTAAGTTTATTACCTGTTGGCATGGTGACTGTTTACTCTTCATTAAGTAGAAGTGGATCATGAAAAATGCCTTTATCCTCCTTGTCTTCACATTGAGTCAGCTGAGGAGGAAGAGGAGAAAGAAGGGGGGTTGGTCTTGCTGTTGCAGGGGTGGTGAGACAGAAGAGGTGGTGGAGGCTGATGAGGAAGCAGAGAATGTGACCTTGTGGAAATACATTGTAATTTTTGTCTGACTTTTTTGCTTTTTCATGTCTCTAAAAATGTTTCTGTGTGGTACAAATCCGTCTCCCACCAGGTGCTTTGGTTTCAGAGTGTGTATCATGAAGTCTCCATGTAAAAGAAATGAAAAAAGAGTCTTGAATAATCAGAACTCTTCTGCCAGATTGTCTTATATTAGTTTGTCTTATATCAGTGCTCATTGGCACTGGTTTGGAAGCACTCATCTCCATCAAGTCATCTTCTGTTAATTCCTCTGGTGTGGTGTCTGCTAGCTCTTGAATTTCTCTAAGGTCCAAAACTTGAATCTCTTTACCCCCATCTTTTTGGGGCCATATTCACAATCTGTTTCATGATCTCCTTGATTGGCTCTGTCGTAAATCCTGTGAATTCATGCATGGCTTCTGAACGCGGTTTTCTCCAGTGGGGATTTGTTGTTGCAGGTTTGATGGCTTTCTTGGTTTTTTCCCTAACAGCGTTGACAGCTTCCATAGTGTAATCCTTCCTCCAGACTTACGTGATGTTCTCTCCATAGAGGCACTTGTGTATGGGTGATAGTCCTTTCCATAGAATATCATGTGCAGTGCGCCTTTAAGGTCCTCGTGACCCCTGATCTAAAGGCTGAATTGGAGACAGGTTTGGAGGCAAGTAGACCACTAGATGCCTTCAGTGTTGAATTCATGGGCTTCTGGGTTGCCAGGGGCACTGTCTGATATGAAAAGAAGCTTAAAAAATAAGGTATTTCCTGACTTCAGGGACAAAGCATTGATGGAACCAATTCCGAGAAAGGGCCTTCTTTTTTTTTTAATATCCAAAGACTGGTAGCTTCTGTTTTATCTTTTCCCTTCAAGGCTCTGGGGCGAGCAACTTAATAGAGAAGAGCAGTCCTGGTCATAAACCTGAGTGCATTTTCACAGAACAGTGGACTTAGTCTCTCCCTCCCTGCCTTAAATCCTGGTGCTTGCTTCTCTCTCTTACTAATTAATGTCCTTTGTGGCTTTTTTTCCCCCTCCTCCAGATTAGGGCATTTTCATCTGCACTAAAAACCGATCAGGCAGATACTCCTTCTCCTCAATGATTTTCTTAATGCCATCTGGGAACTTGTCTGCTGCCTCTGCATTAGCAGAGGCTGCTTCTCCTGTTATCTTGACAGTTTTTAAGCCAAACCTCTTTCTAAAATTATCAAACCATCCTTTGTTGGCATTAAATTCTCTAGCCTTATGTTCTTCACCTTCCTTTTGCTTTAAATTGTATAATGACTTTGCTGTTTCTCAAATCGTGTCAGATAGGTATGTCTTTCTTATAGCAATCCTCCACCCACTTAAAAATTGCATTCTCTTTTTTTTTCATTTTAACAGTTTTTAATGAAAACTGTAGACAAGATGACTTTATTTCTGCATCTTCTCAATTGTTTCTTCCTTATATTTGCCCTTTTCCTTTCCTACTTGATAAAAAAGTATTTTGCAAAAAGCACTAGGTTTTTGCACCTGCTTGCATAGCTTCAACTGTGACTTCATGAATTTCCTTTTCTTTTTTACAAAGGTCCTTAAACTGGCTTCGTTTATCTTGAGATGGTAGGAAATCACAGCTGCAGACTGCAGTCTCTGGTACCTATCAAGCAATTCAGTGTTCTCGTGTAATGTCATGACTGTGCTTCTTGGGAGCACTTCCCAGCATCACTAGTGGCACTTTGTATGGGTCCCATGGTTATTATTCAAGGTCTGTGGTATTGTGCTAAACTTGATGAAGAATACTCAAGAACTGCAAGAGATCACTTTTTACTATAGTATGCAATCACAGAGTTTGGCAAGCTTCCTGTGGTTACATATGTTTTCCTCCCACATAAGAATTTTCATGGCCTTTCTGATGTGGCCTTTGAATCTGTTTGGGGAACAGGTGACAGGGAGTTCATCAGTTCTGCAGATAGTGTGTCCTACTCTCAAACACCTTCTCAGTTAAGGTTTTCCTTATTGAACTTGAGTCTATCTTTTATATTTCTCTTTTTGTCCATTGTTGCTAAGAATGTAATTTACCCCCAAATATGCCTAGTATGTTTCTTTTCCTACATTTTTTTCTTTACTGTGCTAAACATACCAAGTTTCTTTAGTTCTGTACATTTCAGACTTTCCACACTTCAACCTCCAAGTTAACCTTCTTCTGGATTCTAGCCTTTGTTTTTAAGAAAATTTCTCCCTCATTACATTTTATCATGAAACTTTTCAAACATATGGAAAAGTTGAAAGAATTGTACAGTGGACACCCATATTCTCACCACCTAGTTTCTATAGTTAACTTTTCATATATTAATTATGCAGCTCTTCATTTATTTCTCTATCCATCTCCTAATCTTTTTTTTTAAGTATTTCATAGTGAGTTGTAGATATCTAAACATTTCATCATGCATATCATGAATTAGGGGCTTCCCAGGTGGTGCTCGTGGTAAAGAACCCACCTGCTCATGCAAGAGACGTAAGATACCACAGGTTCAATCCTTCGGGAAGATCCCCTGGAGAAGGGAATGGCAACCCATTCCATTATTCTTGCCTGGAGAATCCCATGGAAAGAGAAACCTGGCAGGCCACAATCCATCAGTTTGCAAAGAATAAGACACAACTGAAGTGACTTAGCCCACATGCATCATGAATTAAAACTGAATATTTGTTTACAGTTTGTCTTTTTAGGTATGTTTATACACATTATTGTATAGAAATCTTTTTTTTTTCCATTTATTTTTATTAGTTGGAGACTAATTACTTTACAACATTGCAGTGGTTTTTGTCATACATTGAAATGAATTAGCCATGGATTTACATGTATTCCCCATCCCGGTCCCCCCTCCCACCTCCCTCTCTCCCTGTATAGAAATCTTAAGTGTACTATTCAGTGAGGTTTGATGAGTGAAACCCCTAACAAGATAGATATTTATCATCCCTAAAGTACCTACTGGCCCCTCAAGATCAGTTCCCTGACCATTCTCTCAGGTGCAACCAGAGTTCTGTTTTTTTCTATCACAGATTAGGTGTTTGCCTGTTTTAAAACTTCATGTAAATGGAATCATGTAGTATGTGTTGTGTTGTGTAAGGCTTCTTTCACTTAGCATGTTTCTGAGAATCATGTGTATTGCTTGTATTATTTAATTTCTTCCTTTTTATTGCTGAGTTGGATTCCAGTGTAGAAATATACCAATTTGTTTATTTTTCATCAATCCCCAGTTGTTGATGGACACCTAATTCTTTCTAATTTCTGGCTCTCTTGAATAAAGATAGCTCTGAACGCTCTTGTTTTTTTTAATTTATTTTTTAATTGAAGGATAATTGCTTTACAGAACCTTGTTTTCTGTCTGACATCAACATGAATCAGCCACAGCTGTACATTTGTCCCCTCTCTCTTGAACCTCCTCCCACCTCCCTCCCCATCCCACCCCTCTAGGTTGATACAGAGCCCCTGTTTGAGATCCCTGAGACATACAGCAAACTCCCTTGGTTATCAATTTTATGTGTGGTGATGTAAGTTTCCCTGTTACTCTCTTCATACATCTCACCCTCTCCTCCCCTCTCCCCTTGTCTATAAGTCTGTTCTCTATGTCTGTTTCTTCATTGCTCCCTTGCAAATAAATTCATCAGTACCATCTTTCTAGATTCCATATATATGCATTAGTATACTATATTTAACTTTCTCTTTCTGACTTACTTCACTCTGTATGATAGGCTCTAGGTTCATCCACCTCATTAGAACTGACTCAAATGTGTTCCTTTTTATGGCTGAGTAATATTCCATTGTGTATATGATGTTCTCTTGTTAGTTTTGTGAACAAATGTTTCATTTCCTTTGGTCAGCTCTCTAGGGGAGGAATCACTGGTCATACAGTAGCTGTATATTCTGAGAAATTGCCTTTTTCCAAAGGTCTTTTATATTCTTTTTAAGAGTTCCAGTTGATTCACATCCTCATAAACATTTGGATTTTAGCTTTTTAATGCCCTCTTAAGAAGGGCTTTTATAGAAATGATCACAGTCCTCTAGAATTGATCTGAAGGCCAACCAAAAAAATTGAGACCTTTTTCAGATTAATTGTTTTTAAGCCATGTTACCTTTTTGTGCACTTAATAAACTGATTTTTGAAAATCCTAAATGGATGACTTGTTTATCCCTGTTCCATTTCATCCAGTTAATTTGAGAAAACCTAGAATTTCGAATCTGTCATTGGTTGGTTTGGTGATTCCTTCCAGCTTTGTATCATTTACAAATTTGAAAAGTGTGTTTTCTGGGTGTTTTCGGTTGTTAATAGCATTGCTGGTCCAAAGATAGAGTCCTTTGACACATTACTGGAGACTTCTTGACTCCATTCAGTAGGATAGGCCAGCAGACTATGAATTTATCTCATAAAGTCATGTAGGTCTTCCCTGGTGGTCCAATGGTCGAGAATCCACTTACCAATACAGGGCACATGGGTTCAGTCCCTGGTGCGGGAAGAGTCCACATGCATTGGGCCAACTAAGCTCATGCACCGCAACTGCTGAGCCAGTTCCCTCAAGCCTGTGCTCTGCAACAGGGGAAGCCACTGCAGTGAGAAGCCCATGCCACCACAAACTAGAGAGCACCCCCTGTTCTCCGCAACTAGAGGAAGTCCGCACACAGCAACAAAGACCAGGGTGACCACAAATAATAAATAAATTTAAAAAAATTGCCTACCTTATGTTTTTGTTTGTTTTCCCACTAGAATCTAAGCTTCATTCATGAGAGTTTCTGTCATATATCTGAGCATCTAGAACAGGGATTAAGGCATATAGTTGTTGTTCAATAAATGTTTTTAAATGAATGAGTGAATCATGGATATTAATACATTTGAGGATTTTGTCAAAAGCCTTGCTAAAAATAACTCTCTTTGTTTTCCTGGAATTCCCTCTATTGCAGAATGAAACAAGTGTGTGCCAACAACATACTATTTGGCTTTTTTGCAGAAAAGGACATGAATGAACTGATGGAAGAGTCGTTTGAAACTGTGAGTAGTGATCTTTGAATGAGAACTCTGGACACAAAAGGTGGATTCTCCAGCAAGCTCTGTCCTTTGGTCTCAGGGCCTCTCTCTCCAGAACAGTGGTCTGACCATGTCTGACCAAGCCATTCCCCTGTCAGTCCACCCAGGAGAGAATATAGTGACAGGAGAATTTTGGTAACTGGTGAACTTTGAATATCCATATCTTAGTTAAGTTTTCCTTATGAGCTTTTACAGAGCCTCTTCAACTGTCACATGGTACATCCTTAAAGATTGCAAACTAATTATAGTTTCTTTTTTCATAAATTTCTCTCTTGAAAGATACTCTGATCATTTTGAGTTATCCATGCTCTGTCTTTACCATTACAAGTTGACCAAGTGAGAAAATTTTATTCTGGCATGAAAATTATGCCATGTGCTAGACTGGTTGAGCCCAGAAGTGAGAAAGGATCCAATGCTAGCTCTTTCTGTGTGCCAGCATTATTAAAGTCCTGTAAACCAGTCTTCATTTTCCCCTGTCACTGTTGGAGTGACTTTTTAAAATTTTTTTTGATGTTGGAGTGACTTTTACATGCCCATTTCCCAAGAAAATCCTTCTTTTCCTTTGCCCTCAGTTTCAAGATGAGATGGGATTCTCCAACATGGAAGATGACGGCCCAGAAGAGGAGGAACGTGTGGCTGAGCCTCGGCCTAACTTTAACACCCCTCAAACCTTACGGTAGGCTAACCAAAGACCTTGAGACCTGGAGTAGAGGAAAACTGTATGTCTGAGAGGGAGTTTTGAGAAGTTTTGGTTAATAATTTCCCATCCCTGACTACCTGCTGTTACTGATATAAGGACACTGAGCTCCATGGGGCTGTTGGGTGTGAAGTGAATAATTCTCCTTCTTATGGGGCAGTGCAGCTCTAGACCAAGCTGTATCTATTTGGGAAGGGAGAAAAAGCAGTAGCTGGCATCCACAGCAGCTTCTCCAGGTGAGTGGTGCTGGAGAGGTGTGTAGGACTCTGCGTGGCCAGCCACAGAAGCTACCCCAAAATTTAATATCCACTATGTCCCTTTTGTTCTTCTGTTTGCTGTTAACATCTAGTAAAAGTTAATGAACCTTTGTTAGTCTCCAGGGCATTAATTGAACAAACCATGAAGCACCTGCAGTAATGCCCTGGAGTCTCAAAAGTGTGTACTGCCCTTTTCACATGAATTAGCCCTTTTGTTGTCCCATCTGGAAAGTAGAGGCTTTAATTCCGCCCCCATATTTGTGTTGAGTCTGCAGAGTTCATCCGTACTTTGTTGTTACCCACTTTCAGTAGCAGCATACCATCATTAGGTACTGGCTAGATGTCAGGGCATGGTTTGTGCCGTGGGTAGAACAAAGCAAAACTCCAGGACTCATAGCCTTTAATTAGTCCTGTGCTTTCCCTTGACAGCATTACCTAACTAGAGAGCTTAGGATCCACCTGAGAGCTAGACCTTCAGGTAACGTGCAATTTAGTGAAAAAGGCTAGGTATACTAACCAATGCGTAAAAGTCAGAAGTATCAGTCATCAGTTCAGTCAGTTCAGTCACTCGGTCATGTCTGACTCTTTGTGACCCCATGGACTGCGACATGCCAGGTTTCCCTGTCCTTCACCAGCTCCCGGAGTTTGCTCAAACTCATGTCCATCAAGTCGGTGATGCCATCCAGCCATCTCATCCTCTGTCGTCCCCTTCTCCTCCTGCCTTCAGTCTTTCCCAGCATCAGGGTCTTTCCCACTGAGTCAGTTTCTTGCATTAGGTGGCCAAAGTATTGGGAGTTTCAGCTTCAGCATCAGTCCTTCCAATGAATATTCAGTCATATTCCATTATAATAAATACCATAATATAACCACAACAGAAATCTCAAGAGTTCCTTTTTTCCCCCCAACTTTGTTGAGTTTTAATTGATAGATAAGGTTCTAAAACATTGAAAGTCCACAGCGTGATGATTTGATATACATTATATATTACAAAAGGATTTCACCCATGAAGTTAATGAATACTTCTGTCACATCACGTATTTACCATTTTTCTTTTTTTGAGAACATTTTCAAGGTTTCTTAGAGTTTTTTTTCCAATTTTTTTTTTTATTGATTTTTTTTTTTAACAACAAAAACATTTTCTATTGTGGTATAGCTGATTAACAATGTTGAGATAGTTTCAGGTAAACAATGAAGGGACTCAGCCATACATATACATGTATCCATTCTCACCCAAAGTCCCCTCCCATCCAGGCTGGCACATAACTTTGAACAGAGTTCCATGTGCTGTACAATAGGTTTTTGTTGGTTATCCATTTTACATTAGCAGTGTATACATGACCGTCCCAAATTCCTTAACTATCCCTTACCCCCCAGCAACCATGAGTTCCTATTTAGAGTCTGTGAGTCTCTATTTTGTAAGTAAGTTCATTTGTATCATTTCTTTTTAGATTCCAAATATAAGGCATGTCACATGATATTTTGGAGAAGGCAATGGCACCCCACTCCAGTACTCTTGCCTGGAAAATCCCATGGACGGAGGAGCCTGGTAGGCTGCAGTCCATGGGGTCGTGAAGAGTCGGACATGACTGAGCGACTTTACTTTCACATTTCACTTTTGTGCATTGGAGAAGGAAATGGCAACCCACTCCAGTGTTCTTGCCTGGAGAGTCCCAGGGACGGGGGAGCCTAGTGGGCTGCCGGCTATGGGGTCGCACAGAGTTGGACACGACTGAATTGACTTAGCAGCAGCAGCAACACATGATATTTCTCCTCTGTCTAACTTACTTCACTCAGTGTGATACTCTAGGTCCATTTGTGTTACAGCAAATGGCTTTGTTTCATTCTTTTGAGTAATATTCCATTCTCTCTGTGTGTGTGTACATATATATGTAGGTATATACATATGTATGTGTGTATATACACACATGTATGTATATGTATTTATGTGTGTGTGTGTGTGTATACCCCTCATCTTCCCCTGAAGAAGGGCATGACAACCCACTCCAGTATTCTTGCCTGGAGAATCCCCAAGGACAAAGGAGCCTGGTGGGCTACAGTCCATGGGGTCACAAGGAGTCAGCCATGACCCAGGACAGCAGCAGACCACAGCTTCTTTATCCATCCCTCTGTCAGTGGACATTTAGGTTGCTTCCATGTCTTGGCCATGGTAAACAGTGCTGCAGTGAACATTGCGGTCCATGCATCTTTGGGGGCCATGTTTTTCTCTGGATATGCGCCCAGGAGTGGGATTGCAGGGTCATATGGTAGCTCTGTTTTTATTTTTTAAAGAACTTCCATGCTGTTCCTTAGAGTTTGTATTTGACCCACTTACTTCACACCATGTTTCATAGAAAAAAATTCTAGTGTAGCAGAATAGAACCTGAGCACCTGTTATCATGGGACTTGATCAATAGACCTATTTCATTTCCACTACACACCTCTGTGTGTCAATTTTTAAAATTTCAGAATTTCATAACTACTTAAAAAATTCTCATTCAGTTCAGTTACCTTCTGGTATTCTGCTTAGGCTGCTGCTGCTTTTCTTTCAGCTGGAAATACAAACCTAGCTTATTATTTGATTATAAGTAAAATATCACATGGAAAGTAGGTTACCTGTGCTCCCCTTGTCAACTGTCCATCGAGATAATGCTTCTTAGAATCAGGTACAGCCCTTTTTGCATTATACTTTTTTCCTGCTTCTGTTCTTGTTCCTCTGCTAGGTATGCAGATACTCAAAAGAGTTTTCAGTTCTCAGTAAAATTGTACAGAGGAGAGTCCTATGTCTATAAATTTTCATCCTGGGCCTGCCCATACTTGCAATAAATACTGTTAAAGGAAACATAATGTGTATCCCCAGGGACTGTTGGAACAAAGTTATGATCATTTAACTATTGTGCAATCTAGAGGATTTATTGAATTAGGATAACCTGCTAGTCATAGCTGCTTGAGCAGTTTGTATGCTGATTTCATAGAGTAGCGACTTTTGCTTAATCACTTGAGTGTTTTCTTCTGCGTCTACCTCAGAACTAGCATTTGGATTCTTACTTCAGCCCCTGACAGTCTCTATCTGTCTCTTACAAAGTGGGGCTGGGAGGGTAGCGATAGAAAGTGTGGAGGAGGAATTTCGAGGGCTAAGATATTTTCATGGAGGTGAGTAGGGTCATACTTGAACCAGTCTCTCACTATTCATCTAAACTAGGGCTTCCCAGGTGGCACTAGTGGTAGAGAACCCGCCAGCCAATGCAGGAGATGCAAGAAACGTGGGTTCAATCCATGTTTCAGGAAGATCCCCTGGAGTTAGGAAATGGCAACCCACTCCAGTATTCTTGCCTGAGAAATCCCATGGATAGAGGAGCCCTGTGGGCTACAATCTGTTGGGTTGCAAAGAGACAGGACTGAAGTGACTTAGCATGCATGTAAGCACCCTGTGTTTTAGTTTATGCCCTTTCTACTCCATGCTAGAAGGTCTTTGAGTTTTTACGTAAGGAAGTCAGCGCAGACTGAATGACTAGGAGGTGGAGAACAGGAGAAACTGGACCTGGGGTGGGAGTAGCACTTAGCTTAGAGAACAGAGGTTGTGCTTTGGGAAGATTCTGTATCACCATTAAGAATAAGTCCCAGATTAATGGAACTGTCAGTGGGATGCGAAAATCATGGGTTCCCATTAGCTCCTTGGTTGCTTTTGTTATCCAGATATTACCCTATGTTTAGATTTTAGTTTAATTTCACCTTCATTAGTATATTACTTTGAGTACTGATTGTAGGAGAATGGCAAGGGGATGATTCAGAACCATCTTATGTGAATCTATTTTGGGAGAAGATTTGGGTAGGCTAGGAGTTTGCCTTTTGGCTAAAGTGAGACTTGAGGATTAGCAGTAGATGGAAGTTGCTCAGACTGGCTTAGCCAATGGTAGGAAGGAACTAGATGTGTTTTGGACCCATGGAAATATTCAAATCCAGTCATCTCCCTGTGGGGGATAGGTTTGAGGAACCACTGGCCAACTTACTAAATGAGCAACATCGCACCGTGAAGGAGCTACTTGAACAGCTGAAGATAAAAAAATCTTCAGCCAAACAGCAGCAGGAAATAGAGAGGGTTAAACCCCAGAGGGAGAAGGTTCATCAGACTCTGATTCTAGACCCAGCACAGAGGAAGAGGCTCCAGCAGCAGATGCAGCAGGTAAGACTCTTCTTGGTAATGTTAATATTGGATCATCTTCATCTTTTGAGATGAAGCCAAAAATTAGCAGCTTGTGAAAGTCAGAAATAGGTGTCTCGGTAACCATTGAAACCACAGGACCACAGCATCTTCATGTCAGTCAGGACCTTGAAAGGCCACCATGTTCATGTCTTTATGGCTCAGATAAGAATGCATGTAAAAGGACTTTCCTGGTGGTTTAGTGGTTAAGACTCAAAGCGTCCAATTCAGGGGGCACAAATTCTATCCCTGGTTCGGAACTAAGATCCCGCATGCTGCACAGCATAGCCTAAAAAATAAATGAAAAAGAATGCTGTAAGATTTCAAAGAATCTTTAGTAATCCCTTCTGAATTGAACAGTCTTACCCCAGAGTAGTTTTTGTTCTTTCTAATCTCAGTTCCTCTGCTTTGAGGTTAAACTTCCTTTGATTCTGTCATTTTGCTGAAGTAGAGCATATCTGAGAAAAAAATTCATACTGAAATAGCTTTATTGTTCCCATAGTCTCCCTAGAAAGTGAAATGTGTTTGATAAAGTCACTGACATTGGTCTTCTGGGTTTCTGAGATGACAACATCATAACATGTCACACTGTATTATTTTCTTTCCCTTCCCAGCATGTTCAGCTCTTGACGCAAATTCACCTTCTTGCCAGTTCCAATCCGTCTCAGTTTGGAGGCCAGTACCACCAGGATATTTCTTGTAAGGTTTCAGATACTCATAAATCTGAAGAATTGTGTATTCAATTAGTTAGGAAGTCATTTCTCACAGATACCAAGTCATCATGAGCTATATTAATTCTTCTCTCCTGCAAGCTTTGTTAAATATTTGTATGGCTTCCTATGCTTGCTGAGAAAACATAAGTTACTGCTCCCTAGGAAAGGACAGAGTGCGTATTCAATTTTCTAAAGACAATTCCTCTTACCTTTTTATTGGGTGCTCTTCCTACCTGTAGTTCCACCCATCTTAAGCTTTCGGTACTTCTCTTCTTTTTATTGAATTCATTATTTATTAAGCTTGATATCATTGTTTTATGTATAAAATTAATTTTACTTGTGGCATTTTGAAATATTTTGGAGGAAGGGCTTTTAATTTCAAAATTTTGGGAATTCCCTGGTGGTCCAGTAGTGTCAGATTCCTCGCTTTCACTGTCAGGGCCCAGCTTCATTCCCTTATTGGGGAGCTAAATAAGATCCCATGAGCAGCACGGAATGGGCAAAAAATTCACATTTTAAAATCTGAACTTTGGGGCAGTAATAAGGATATTCTTTGCCTGTTGGGTAAGTCTCTGGAGTCTGAGTTGACTCATAATCAGATCTTCCTTGGATAGTCAATGGAGTATGTTTCTCTCTTATTGTGTTCAGAGGATCACGAGCAATACTTTATTCTGAGTGTTATTCAGAGAAACAAATAAAAAAATTATTAATTTTTTAAGTAATGGCTCTCACTCTTGAGAATTTTAATTCCATCTGGGGAACTAGAACATACATCCAAAATGCTGAGGAACACTCAGACTGAGAATAAAACAGGAATAAATTAGTGTATCAGAGATCCTCAAATATCTGAAGATTTAGTAGAAGAGCTCTCTTAATGGAAAAACGTTAATTATGAAAGATGTTATGATGATTTTAACCAATTTTATCCTACTGTAGGAAGGACAGTTTTTCTCTCAGAGGCTAAGGGCTACTGGTATTAATTGTCTGGAACTCACATCTCCTTTGTGTCCTGTTTTCCCAGAAAGAGCTGGGAACCTTTGCTCAAAGCTCCATTGCCCTCCATCATCAGTTCAACCCCAAGTTTCAGACCTTGTTCCAACCCTGTAACCTGATGGGAGCTATGCAGCTCATTGAAGACTTCAGCACACAAGTCAGCGTTGACTCAAGTCCTCGTAAAACTGTCACGAAGACTGGTAGGGAACAGACGGGTCCACTTTAAGTTCTTATTTGCAGTGCAAGGTGTTCGTCTTACCCCACAGATCATTTCCTAGGGATAATTTCCTAGGGTTGGAAGAGATGGGTATTTGTAATTTCTTTCTTCTCTCTTTTATCCTCCCTGTGTGTTCATTACCTAAGTTCTAGAACTAGGTAATAATACTGGGGTTTAAGTAGAGGATGGAGTCAGTGAACAGGACAGGGATGTGGGAGGTAGAGATGTGGGACTCATTGCTAATAATTCGACTTAAATAGATATGAGGGTAAGTATTAGGAATTAGGTCAAGACCACCAATATCAGATAAAGATGGAAGTCAAGTGGTAAAGTCAGGTTATATTTAGGTTTTTACTGTGTTTTTCATTAACATCATTTTATTTCCCATAATGATTATAGTGGTGTCTCCATTTTGAGTGAAACTTTGATTTGGGAGTTAGGAACAAAGTAAAAATGTTGTGCATTGCCATGTTCAATAGTTTAAAGACATCTTCAGGTTTGGTTTCTACTTTCATTGGTTTAGTTTTTTTTTGCGAAAATATTTGCTGTTCCCTTAAATCAAATATTTACTTCTCATTTCTTCCTGGTTTAACACATTAATTGTGGTTTGCTCTGGATTCGGACTTTGGTCTTCATTTTAACTCCCACTTTTATAATTTAATTGAATGTAAGTGTATTATGTCATAGACACTGATCTCAAACTACTTTATTAGTTATATGTTGGTAATGAAAACTTAACACCAGACTACAGTTATGACTTGGGCTTCCTGGGTGACTCTGTGGTAAAAGAATCCACCTGCCAATGCAAGAGACGCAGGAGACATGGGTTCGATCCCTGACTCGGGAAGATCCCCTATAGAAGGAAATGGGAACCCACTTCAAGTATTCTTGCCTGGAGAGTCACATGGACAGAGGAGCCTGACGGAGTACAGTTGATAGGGTTGCAAAGAGTTGGACATAACAGAGTACGCATGTGGTTATAACTTACATATAGAGTGACCTGTGTTTTTCTTCTGGGGATATAAAGATTACATTTACAAAAGGAAAAATATGGCTATAGAGGTGTTCATCTCTGAAAAGGCAGAAGTGCCTGGAATTGGGAGGCTTAGACAGCAAGACAGAAACGAATGAGACTGAATTGTCTCATTCTCTTTCTGATTTTTTTGTCCCAACCTCAGGAAGAATCTGGGAGAACTTAATGAAAGTTAAGTAAGAATAAGTGAAACTTGGAATACCAGAGTTGTGAGGGAGATTAAAGAAGTTGGAGTCTTATCCTGGAAGAAAGAAAACATTGTTGAAGTTCACTTACCTTTCAAGGATTTAAAACGGGAAGGAGGTAAAAATTGTTTGACCATAGAGTATCTGCTAGGTGTTACTTGGTACTTTATAAGTGTTTATGTTATTTAGTGTGTTAAGTGTTCCACACAGGAAAGAAAAAGACAATCAACTTTTAATAATGTTGAATGGGACTCCTTTTAGGTACATGTTAGGCTGAGAATGATTGTGCAAGCTTTTGGGAGAGGGGTATGTGGGTGGATACACACGTTATTTAGGGTCAGCTCTCTCTAAATGCCAAAATGCATTCAGAAGCTTTTGTGAAGCCCTCTTTTGTTCTGGAATTTCATTTACAATGAATTTTCTTCTTACAGCCTATAGATTGCCCTATTTGCCAAAGCAAGTGGCTTGGATCCTAGCCACAAGCAAGGTTTTCATGTATCCAGAGCTACTTCCAGTGTGTTCTCTGAAGGCCAAGAATCCCCAGGATAAGAATTTCTTCACCAAGGCAGAGGACAGGTAAAGACTTAGTGTAGCAGAGAAGAAAATCAGAAGATTTGTGTAATAAGAAATGGACACAAAAGACAAAGAAAAGCCATGTAGATGGACATAGTTCTATAGTATGTTCCTGTTCCAGTAGTGCTCTTTTTAGGGATTAGGTATACATTTTGGAAACATTTTATGTTTTAATTTGTGTTTTGTTTATCATAAAAACTAATCTCATAATACTGTTGGAGGAAAATTTTAAGGAAAAAACATTTGTATCCATTATCCTCACCAGCCCAAAGACAATGATTTTTTCTTTTTATATTTCATACATAATTATTGGCAATTTGAGTTTAATTTCGTTTTGCTTTTTTCAGCTTAATTTCTTGAAATTGTTTTTTTATGTGCCATAGTGTAGCATTGTCTTTTTTTTTGGTCTCTGTATATTGTCCTTCCAGGCAGTATTAATGGCCCTATCATAGTCCTTTTATTTGCCTCTTTTCCCTACTTCTGTTGTTTGGCTGTTCTAAGTGAGGCTTCACCAAGGATCTTTGTGCATAGAACTTTTGAAACTCTTTGAGTTTATCTCTTTGGGTAAATTCTCAAGAGTGAGATTATTTGATAAAGGTTTGCCATCAGCCAATATGTATACAGGTAACTAATTGAGGTACTGTTGGTGTGGATTTAATATGTTTAACATGGTGCCCAATATTCATTTTATATTTGTTTTATTAGAGCCATTCTCCTTCCCTCAAACTTTGTTTTTATGATTGCTATAAAACACATCATGTTGTGACATTTATTAGCAATTTATGCCTGGCTTTGCCTCTTATCACTTGATGGGAACACCTCACTGAGTCTTACTTACATAGTACTTCTTAGCATTCAGTGAATATCTGAAATTTTCTATTGAGTTTCCATTAACTTGTACAAGAATTAGCTGTGAAAAATGTGGGTTGGAGAATGTGAAGTTTGTTTGGGAGGCTTTTCAGCAGGATGGATTGTCAAGTGAGTTTGAGTGTTACTGCCCATTTCTCAGTTTGTTGGCTTTAGGCCTGAAGCACTTTGAAGGGACCCATTTTCCCAAGCCTCTGATCAGCAAGTACCTTCTCACTTGCAAGACTGCCCACGAGCTGACAGTGAGAATCAAGAACCTCACAATGAACAGAACTCCTGACAACATCCTTAAAGTAAGTGCTCCCTGCACGCTCCGCCAGGCACCTTGGCTGAGTGCAGCCATTCTTATCTTTTTCTCAGATTCAGTGAATAGCCTTTTATCTAACGCTAGTCCCTCCTAACTGCACACTAGCCCTCTTTTCCTTTCTAAGGTCATTGATCTATTCTTTTTGTATGGAGTATCATCTTCTTCCCCTGTTATGGATATTTTTGCTAGATGTAAAGCTGTTCAAATGTAAAAATACTCCTCAAATTTGTTTTCCTTTAGTTATTTATTCTCTTCTTCCACTGTAACCTTCTTCAAAGGGTAGGTAACAATCCACTTATATCCTTCTTAATTCTTTTAATTTAGATGTTTATATCAAAGTATATCAAGTATACTTTATATACTTTATAAAGAGGTCCCCAGCCCCCAGACCACAGACTGGTACTGGTCCATAGCCTGTTGGTAACTGGCTACACAGCAAGAGGTGAATGGCAGGCTAGTAACCTAAGTTTCCTCTGTATTTACTGCCATTCCCTGTTGCTTGTATTAACGCCTGAACTCCACCTCCTGTCAGATCAACAGTGGCATTAGATTCTCATGAGTATGAACCCTATTGTGAACTGCGCATGTGAGGGATCTAGGTTGCCAGCTTCTTATGAGAATCACCCTAAAACCATCCCTTGGGTCTCCTCACCCCCATCCTGTGGAAAAATTGCCTTCTACAGAATTGGTCTCTGGTGCCAAAAAGGTCAGGGACTACTGCTGTAAAGAGTTAAATACCTCTGTGAGCCTTGTCATGAAAAACAATCATTTTTCTCCCTGTTTCCTGCTGAGCAAGATTTCTGCAGGGATGGTACATTTACCTCTAATCTAGGATCTAGGTAGAATGGTTAGAATTGCTGTCACTTGACTTTTCGGATTTGGGCCTTCTCTATTAAACTGAAACCATGGAAGATGAAGATAGTTCTCTCCACACTCTCTCACTGCTTCACCTCAGTTATATCACAGTATAAGTTGGATTTTTTCCAGAGTTTACATTATAAACAGCATGTAAAAACTCCTCACAGCTGATCCATGTAGCATATCATGATTACTTTGCTTTTCCTGCTGAATCTTTTGTTTCTCCTGGAGTCAATAATTGCATTTTTGGAGGGAGAGTGGGACTTGGTTTTATTATGTATTTATTATCAGTTTAACACTGAGGTCTGCTTAAGTTTTATAAATCTCTTTTCAGCGTGTTCAGGTATCTGAGGGGCTCTGCTTTCACCTCATCGTCCTGAAGAAGCCCTTCCCAGAGCGCGCCGATCCGGCTCCGCTCCGCCCGTGCTGCTCTTGGCTTGCTGCACTAATGTCTTTGGCTTTTTCTTCACGATTTTCCTGGGGTTTTGTTTCACTTCTTACTTGTGTTGGATCCTCTTGTTTCTGTCTTTTTAATTTTTTGTTAATAATTTTACTTATTTATTTTTTGGCTCTGCCGGGTCTTGGTTGCTGTGTGGGCTTGTCTCCAGCTGCGGCGGGCAGGGGGATACGCTCTCGTTGCGTGGCGCCCCTTCTCGCCGAGCGCGGGCTCTGGGTGTGCGAGCTTCCATGGTGGCAGCTCGGGGGCTCAGGATTCGAGGTTCCCATTCTCTGGGGCACAGGTTAGTTGCTCCGTGGCGTGTGGGATCTTCCCGGATCAGGGATTGAACCTGTGTCTCTGTCTCCTGCATTGGCAAGTGGATTCTTAACACTGAGTCACCAGGAAAGCCCTCTTTTAAAAAAAAGAGTTGTTTTTGACTGAGCTGGATCTTTGTTTTGTGCAGATTTTCTCTAGTTTTGGAGGGCAGGTGCTTCCCTTTAGTTGTGGTATATGGGTTTCTCTGATACGGTTTCCACTGTTTCCCCATCTATTTCCCATGAAGTGATGGGACCAGATGCCATGATCTTAGTTTTCTGAATGTTGAGCTTTAAGCCAATTTTTTCACTCTCCTCTTTCACTTTCATCAAGAGGCTTTTTAGTTCCTCTTCACTTTCTGCCATAAGGGTGGTGTCATCTGCATATCTGAGGTTA